GTGTTATATTTCTGACAAATGCTGGGAACTGAGTTATTACGACTTAACGGCGATACTGGGGATACTTAGGAAAGAATTACTAGAATAAAATGGGAACTTCAAATTCGAAATCAGCGGCCATTACCGTAGTATAAGGGATTCTGGTTTGTTTAGTTTTGATCCGAGGCAGAGTATGGCCTCCAATGGCCTAAAATCCTTGTCGAAGTTCCGTAATCCTGCAGTAACAAAGAGCGATAGATGATTCGCTCCATACCGTAAATCTAAGTTTAACTCGTCGACAAAATTGCACCTAAAGCCTCTAGAAACACTTCACTACAAGAGAGTTATTTGCAATGAAGCAGTAGGTACATTTTTTGGGACACCTTGTATAATACCACCACGATGATCACGCAATTTCATATCGTTGCATATAAAACTCATCTCCCACAAAAAATAATCCCATGATGACTAAGAAGCGAGCAGCGTAGGAGTGCTTATTGCACTATTGCGATACAGATTTTGAAAGGGATACATACAAGAGATGGGAGAGGTGTGAAGTGCCAAAGAGAAAAAACCCAAAAACTTTCTAAGTTGGTGCTAATTCGAAATGGTTGCCGACGAGGTAAAACAACAGCTGCTCGCTTTTATTCCGTTCTAAAGTAAATTTTGCGCAAGCAATTGAACTCGTGGCACTGCAGCGAGACTTGCTTACTATTTGAAGGTAGGGACAGCAGTTCCTTACGCGATATTTGCCTTTCTCAGTATATTCGGTGAAGCATCGCCCCGATACATTTGGTGCATTATGCTGGAAAAAAATCATAAGGCTACTATAAAGCACAGCAGTAAACTCAAATGTGCTTGGGAAGCTTGAGAGAAGATGCCATGAAAAAGCCAATACAAGACCGCCGCAGTAACAAAAAATGGGAAGGAAGCAATCGGATGTAGATTGTAGAGGAAAATGACGCGTAAAAGTGAAGTACACTTTGATCGCGAAATTTGTCGTGCTTGATTTTGCTGCGTACACGTGATCGCGGGTAAACCGGAAGTTGCGGCCGGGTGTCACGACCCTTTTTTGCCTTTTTCTAGTGTCATTAGCCCGAATGTCGCGACAGAAGGGGTATGCTACAGCAGCACTCATTTTTTCGCAATTTCCCGCTTTGTGGGCAAATCTAGCGCTGAGCTAACCAACTATCCGAGATGTGTCACGGTAAAAACCAGCTGTTTTGATTCGATTTGACTGTTTTTAGAATCGTTTCTGGTTGCAGGAGAGCATTTGAAAATTGGAAAGCTGTTTAGATGTTTACGCATACAAGATGTTGGCTGCCACGTACTGCGCTTTTCTGACTCAGCTTTCGAAAAGCTCTTTTTCAGAAAACTGAACGGAACTTTCGCAGAACGTTTGGGAAATCGATAAGGTTCCGTAGGCCTACTGCGGAGGTTTCCAAACGAGGTGGTGCTAAAGTTTCGAAAAATGCGGACCACAACAGCCAGAGAGAACGCCTAAACGAGATTCGAACCTTGCTCTACTAACTGCGAGACTCACTCACTACAGCATCGTAAGAGACAACACATTCAAAAACCTGTGGAAGTACTTACAGGTCAAAGTGCTGCGAAACCGCTGGCAATGTTCTAAATTTCCGCCGCGTTTTGTAAAATGTGTTGCTGAAGTTCCCGTTTTCGATCAGTCTAACGTGAAGATCCTGCGGAAGCTCTCAGATTCAACGTTTCCGCTTTTGCAATGGTAAACAAAATCCTGCGGAACCGCTGCAAATTTTGCCTGTCCAGCGGCATCTTCAGTGAATTGCCTGAGATCACATGTTCATTTAGATTACTTTTCCATCTCGCTTTCCTTCTCAAAGCAAGCAATGAAAATGTGAGTTCTCTTTGTCCACAACTTTTTGGCGCACACTATATCTAATACGTGAACCCTACTTATCCGTTTTCTCTCTTTTACATTTTTCTCGGTGTCAGTGTAATACTCAATACATCATCTGTTCTTATCAGAAGCATGCTTAGCAGTGTCCGGTTGCGTAATCAGTAAAACTTTGGCATATTCTCAGTAACTTAAGAAGTAAAATGACTTTCAATAAAACTCGGTCGTCCCGGATCATCGGGGGCCAAACAAAAAGCTGGAAAGTGCTTGCACAGCTATTCTATTCTATTCAGTTAATATTCATTCAATCTATTCATTATATTCTACTTTTCTATTCAGTTAATTGACATGTTTCGAAAAAAGATAGTTGCCATACTAATGGATAGGTAAACAGCGTGAAACCAGGTATCTGAAGCTTTAGGATATGGAGCTATCTTTTGAGCTGCGACCCCCTCCCCAGCAGGAATTTTGATGCATGCGGCCCTTAGTAGCATTTTCAAACACTATGTTGAACGCCGCATTGTGTGATAGGATATGAATAAATGGATAAACAATATGAAGTTGTAACATTCTTGGAATCTCATTGCATATCTCAACACCTTTGATAAAAAAGCTTTTATTGGATCTGTTCTTCACAATCCTTTACTGCATTGTGGCCGAAGTGAAAAGCACAAAGCATTACGCCGGTACCTTTTTCTACTCCTTTGGCGCCAGCGCATGCGAACGACACGAAGTGACCAAATTGAAGCAGTCGCTGAAATTTTCGCATTATCTATCATGACTTATAATAAGCGGCTTAATCTGAAGTTGTGTGGAGTTTGTCCGTTACGAAATTACAGTGAGGAATGATTTACGATACTAAACATCATGTGAGGTTAAGATAGCGAGTATGGTTCATTTTTAACTACAGCTCACGTTGCAATAAACCGAACAATGATTTGAGAGACAAGCTCTCAGAAAGTGAGTTTACCACGGTTCACGATGCCAGTGCGAACCTCTGCGAAGCAGAGGTGAAGCACTGGTATATATATAAAACTCAAATATTGTCAGTTTGGAGGGTATGTGCGTTATAGAAACGCGCGCCACTCAACCGATTCAGCTGAAACTTTGCACACATATGTTTTCGACCCTTGCGCAGATGATAGGCTACTTTTTGCGGCGATTCCTTGCGTCCTTCTATCGATTTATTGATTTGTTTACATTTTCCTAAGGAATTGAAGGGTTATCATGTTCAATCAAGCATTTTCCATACTCATGTAAAGGAGGGCGGTGAAGCTCATTTTCACCTCAGGATCACGAGGATGCGGTTTCCAAGCGGATGTCCCAGGGTAAGTCATCCATACCATATAGGGCGGGGGGAGGGGGGGGGGATGGCTCGCAGTGCAGTGAACCATGGCCCGGCCTGGACCGGGAAAGCCAACTAGTATAATATATTATGCACTAGTTTCCTGTAGTTGCCGTAATAAGCTAGCTCCAAAACAGTCAAGTTTTTATTCACCTAACCATACTAAACTTGATTTTTAGATCACCAGAAAGCGTGAATTTAGTGCACTCATTCGTTTTGAGACATTAAACATTGACCACCGAATTTTTTAAGCAAGTTCACTGTACAATGCTAGAAAACACTCTTGAGAAAGAAAATTGGTCTTGTCGTTAACAAACAACACGCCACATTATTCAAAGAAACTGGCAGCGACGAAGCTTGCAGATGATGCAAAAATTACGAGACCACCGGAAATAAGAATCATACAGAATTTCTCGTATTGATATCGTTAATTCACTAGTGCACTCATTCGTTTTGCGACATTAATTAATAAGTCATGAGCATTCAAATCCAGCTATTAGGAACCATGTTTCGAGGACATCTTGGCGTGCAGCCCGGTGGGAGTGATCCCATTTTCAAATCGCGGATGTGGGTTTGAATTCTCTCTAACGAAACTCCTTTGCATTTTTCATCAACTTCTGATTCTTTGCAAGTTAGTTTAGGCTGCTAAAATGCGTATTTTTGGATAAGATTAAAGCATTTGCACTGCAAAAACGTTGCAGCTTTACAGAGCTCCACAAAAAGCGTCTTCGCTTATCTTGGCCCCAAAATTTGAGAGATTGTAAATTTTCATCTATGAAAGTTATGTGGAATACTGGCTATCAATTCCGCGCACTTTTCTAAAAACGCCATTTTCTTCGATTACGGTGGGTATACGATAGAATATCAAAGTCTCAATTTTGCTTGCAGATGGTGTCCGAGGAAGGTCAGGAACTTCCGAGATTTTAGAACTTTTCGAAAGTGGACCCTCCGAGAAGTCATTGCGCAAATGCGAGGCCATAACTTTAGAAAACTGAGAGATTCAAGCCCTGAAGGAGGGCCTGCAGGCTACAGTCCTTCATGAGAACGCAAAAACAAGCAAAAACCCACACATTTGACTTACTCAAAAAGTTATTAGATTTTCTTCGAATTAAACTTAGAACTTTTGCATCGAAGTAATATTAGACAAGAGAAAAACAATTTATCAAAAAATCTGAGGCTTTTTAGAGCCTGGCCGAGAAGATCAGCCTATAATGTGCTAGAAAAGGAAAGTAAGTTGTGAAAGACCACAGCAGTCATCATGTCGCTGCTCCTTGTTTTTTTATTCGTTCGATAAAGAAATTATACAAATTTGAAACAGGGAAATGTCCATCAAGTACAGTACAGTCGAGTAGAATTCCCGCTTAATATAGTGCTTGCACAGAAGGTGTGCGGTAAGATTTGCGCGTAAACAACTAGTTTCGATTGTGACGCCGGCCAATTGCGGGCGCAAATTGCCGGCAATAACTGGCATGGTTACTTCTTCACGCGCAAATTTTATCGCATTTCACCTTCTGTGCAAGCACTATATTAAGCGAAAAGCCTACTTGACTGTACATGAGTGAGCAGGGTCACCTTAAAATTTCTTCTTGCACCAAAGTGGTTATGTTACTTTAGCGCTGATGAGCTAAATGAAGCAACAAATGTTACTTCTTCTTCTGACCATGAGAGGATGTATTATGTTAAATAGGGAAGATGATACTTTGAAGTTCCTTCCCAAGCTATAGGCTCCTAAAAATGAGGACAAAACTTTCGTTTGGAGCCAATAATTGAAAAATTTTCAAAGCCCTCTGGGAGTGCTAACAGCTACTGTGTTTCTAATTCAAGTAAAACATCGCTCATTTCTACGCAAAAACTGAGAGCTATATGTTCATCATAGAAAAGGAACTCATGAAACTGTGTGCGTACCGTAACCAAATATGGAGCATGCTTTGTGATCCTCATTCCGGATCCGACTTCAAATTCTCTGCAAATTCAGTTGTGCATTAAAACAAGATGGTTGAAATAGTGAAAGATTACGTTTCAATGTGCTGTTCGACGACTGCAATATGTTCAAGGGTGAGAACACTATCAGTCTTACTTCCATTGAAATTCTTGACGACATCTTGTGCATGAAGCACATCTTGTTTGCAAAAATACTGAAAGATATATATATATATTGCAAGAGCAACACTGATCATTAAACCATAGTCTCCCTATCAAAATGATAAGGAACGAGAAACTCATGATCACTCACCATCCTTGTTTCTGGCCTCATTATCACGAAATTTATTTTGAGAGCAGATCCCGCATGTTGACTCAGCCCCACATTAAATGGCAAAACTTTCTTCTTCACCATTTCAGTGTCGATCTTGGAATGATCGAACCAGTTCACCTAGAGTAATGATGCACAAATAAAGTCTGAAAAAAGTCTCTCAATTATATTTAAGAGATAGATTAGTTTTTTAACTTCATTGTTTTGAAGGGCATCTACAAAGCTTAAGTGCTACCTCGTTTTTTTGCTTGGGCACTCCGCTCTTGCTCTTGACACCAGAATCAGTTGCTTTATTTTTTTCCTAAATCTCTTTATCATTCACTATTTATGGAACTTTTATATTACCTCCTTTTCCTTCAACTTCTCGACTTTGGATTCAAGTTTCATTGTCTTTTTTGGCTGAATTTCATCATCTTAGGAAGTACATGTTAAAGCAATCAAACGTTACCTCAGCTGCAGTTCCTGTGAATGATAACTGCCCATTCTTGGTTTCGTGTGGTAACAAATCCACAGGCAGCTAAATTTCACTATTATAAAAGCTTCCTTCAAAATTTTTGAGCCTTACATATTCCGGTAAGCCCAACTCTTGCTTCTTATCGTCATCAGTCTCTTCCCTCTCCTAAACATAGTGTATCTTGAGGCTAACAAAATTTTCTAAATTTTACAGCATTTACCTCTTCTGATTTAACATCGTCGCTTGGATCTGGGGATCTCACTTTACTTCCGCCCTAAATTTCACTATCACATGATAATTATTTGTAGAATTTTAATGATACCTGAGCTTTACTCACCTCCTTCTCCTTAGCAGTCTCTTCTACTACTGTCGATACTGCTTGGAGGGAAAGTTGACGTCCTGTCTAAACATCACCATTAAAAAGACTACTTGTAAAAGTGGAGTCTTACCATAGGTGTGTCTTCTATTGAAGGTGCAGCCGCTGTCTTCTGGGAAAGGGGGGAAAAAGAGAGTATCGCCACCTAGATCAGAGCTTTGTCGTCAATGAATCATAGGTAAATCACTTACATTGAAAAAGAAGCCTATCAAGTTCATTTCTGAAAATGTCGCTACCGTCGGTTCTTTATATACACAGCTGGTACCTGACTTTTTAATAAAAATAAAGCTGCAGTAGTTTCCAGATTCTTTTATAATTGCTTATCGACTTGGCCATGCTCTTTCCGTACGCTCGCAGCTGTAAGGAACTGTACCAGATTTGGACTCTCGTTCTATGGTTCATGTACTATAATTGTATCAGGTTGCTTCGAGAATAATGTCGCATTTTCAGTCATGGCGCAATATTGAGACATGATCAACACAAATGAAACTGAACGGAGCATTATTCTATAGAGCGAAGCAAGCTTTACAAGATTTCGCTCACACATTCGCAACAACTTTGGTGCATACGAAGTTTGTAACCAGATTGCAAAAGTCCTTTGGGTGCTTGACCGAAAGAAAAATTGTAATTCCGTTCAAAAAGATCCTGAACCCAACTTGAACACGCAGACACACCCTACATCAGACATTCCTACGAGTTTTACACTTTTTGCATGGCTAGGAAACGTTGGCATGCCTTTGCCAAATCACTTCTAGGTCTTCTCAGATAGTGGTTTAGTATAAACCTTCAAAAGTGTACCCATGGATCTTCGACTTTCTATATCAGCTAGTTTTCGAGATGTATCGAATTTATTGTAGAAAAGCCGAAGAACTTTATATATTCGCACTTTTGATGGCACATTTTTGTTTTTTGTATTCAAGTCATCGAAAAATTCTACAAACTGTGAAATCAGAAGTCTGATGTTGAGAGTACATGCCTAAGCGAATTAGAGATTCTTCAAGAATCTTATAAACGGAGATATGATTTTCCAGGTATTCAAAAAATTTTATATTTTGGCTTCAGACTCCAGGTGAAACAAATCCGCGGATATTCGTATATTATCTTGTGAAGTTTGCTCTGTACCAAACGGTTCCTATTTGCGTATCGCCTGCATCGATTACGAAGGAGCGATGAAATTGACAATGTAAATAACCTGTCTAGGTCAATTGACACATCTCGTGCACATGCATCTTGCTAGTGATTTTTTTCATGAAATTGCATAGCAGATCAAGTTTGCTGCTCTAGATCTTGGACCACCTGCAAACTGAGTCTTACCTGCCCCATTTTCCTCTCATCCATTTGGCTACGGTGCAAAAGCTTCAAGCTGCAACCCTCCAATAAATCTGATAATGTGCCTCTGCAATTACCCATGTACTCGTTTTTCATTCGTAAAACATTAGTTCCTGATTGTTACAACCTTCAATGGCTCTAATTGCGTTTCTCCGCTTTCTTTTAAATTTGAATAGTCTTTGTAGATGCACATGAATCGGATAAATTTTGTACTCCCAAGCCAATTTCAAGAGATTTAGTATGGTGGTGTAAGCATTGAATTTGAACCATAGAACGTGCTATACAGGAGGCGTATTGAATGCGATTAATCGCTGCAAATAAGGTGACCTTTGAAAATAGCATTGCTTTTGATCCATAATTAGATATTGGTGAAACGAAAGATGCCAGCCATTCCTTGGTGTTCGTAATTGCATTTATCTAAGAAATACAGAATGAGTCAGATCGCATCTTTCGAAGAATTCCACACCAGAAGCTCATAAAATCTATAGTCTTTGTCTGCTTAGAGTTGAAAATTCCATACTTTTACATAAATTTTTTCCAGGTATTCTTGATTTGAGTGCTAGCGGCTAAGGCCACACTAGCATACCTGCGCCAAAGGGAGCAAGGTGCCCCATTGTGAAGGGACCGCGGGCGGAAGTTGCTACGGCTTTTCACTGGAAACGTCACTCTCCTCGCCGCAGGGATTTTAATGCATTCCCCGTATGCGCGCACATCCCGAGGGGGAAGGGAAGGATCTGAGAGCGGACGAGTCATATCTCACTACTCGAGATATCATATCGTTTTTGTATCCGCTTATGAAGGTCCCAGACCCTGATATTATACTTGAGTATAATGGATGACAAAAAAATGACATCCAAACTGAGTTTTTTTTTCTGAGCGACGAGCCTTCTTTTCGATGTCTGTTCTTGTAGTCGAGAAATTTTCGTGCACTTCTGCGCCTGGCTGCACGTCTATATGCATGCACCTATGTGTGAATTATGAGTATACAAGGGGCGGGGCAGCTCCACTCTTCGTGGCAAGCCCACTTAGAAAAAAATGCTGGAAACTGCTTGCATTCTAAAAATTCGCATTTTGATAGCTGGGCGGAGCTTGCCACTGGAGAGGCGAAGCCTGTTTGACGTTGGTCGGGGTCTGGCTCCAAATTGTATGAGGTCTTTGCGTTTTATACGCCTCATCCATTTTCTTTGCACAAAAAGGATCCTTGCGAGAGGCATAGGAGTGGGCGGAGTTTGCCAAAAGGGGTAGGGTTTACAAAAAAGCTCGAACCTATGTCTGAGAGGTTTGGACAGATAGTACTGAAAATAAGGCCGTCGCGCACCATTGCGCGGCGTTGTTAACAGGGACAGCGTGCCATCGTGTGTACTAGAATGTCAAGAAAGTTATTTTTAAGAGCTGGGAACTTTGCTACAAAGACAATGTTGCTTATATGGTACATTTGTTTTAGTGGGCCACCAGCATGCGCGGTAGGGAAAAAGGTCGATTTAAGATTCGGTCTGTTAGTGTACCAATTCCTCAGGGACGGGGTGAGCTGCATCGTATCCAGTCGTTATGTATCACATCCTTAGGGCACCTTACAAAAAATGTTTTATGTAAAAACTGAAAAATATACCATTTTTGCACTCTGAAAATGCCCCATTTTTTGGTGAATGAACTTTAAATCTCTCTTCTTTGCACCGAATGAATCAAATCCTTGTAAATTTTGTCCGCGTGATGTCTAGCAAAACTTTTGGGCCTATCACCCAGGCCTAACAATCCTCATGAAATCGACGCGGAAACAGGCGCATTCAGTTAGAAATTTGAGAGCTTGTAATTTTCTATGAGCGTGTTGTAAAATCCGAGTGGAGTTGCGTAAAGTGAACAGCCTCCTCATTAAGATTGACCAATTCTCAAATGGTCTTCCTCGTTCGCTATAAAAAAAATGGCAGCAGAAAAAAATTTTGTGAAGTTCTCATCGTTGCACATTCCTTTTTTATGTGTTGGACAAATCGGCTTGACACAGATGAGACTAGATGGAGCTCTGGAAAGCTTAGGGTTTTTTTCCACACCACCATTAAAAATATTTGTAAGACTCAATCGAGTACGAAAAAATGAGTCTGAAAATGATCCAGAACTGCCGGAAGTTTTCTTCACAATCTAATACAAAGAAGAGTCAAAAAAAGTTTTTGGTAGATAATATGCTAGGCTAGAAACCGTAAATGTGATGCTGTAGCATCATTGTCGCCTACCAAATGAGATGTCCAGAATTTTTGTCTGGATTTCCAAACTTCTCATAAATTTCTGCTGCGCAAAAGTGGTAAGAAAAGACTGTTTTGGACTTTGTTGAGAATGTATTGATCTAAAAATGAGAAATTTCTGCGTTGTTTGGCCATACCTTCGATACATACAGCCATGTACTCTGGTAACCTTCACTTTGAGCTTTGTGATAGAACACAACATTCACTTGGAGAAAAGAAGTCATCAGGGGCGAAGCTCCAAATACTACGTTGTTTCAAAAGTTCTGTTCAATTTTCGATTTTTTCATTTGCAATCTTATAATTTTTCAAAATCAACAATGTTGAACAAGTTAATTTTGTTGAATTAAACGAGTGTATGGCTATCACGTGCACTGTATGCGATGTGTAAGGAAAGCAAGCGAGACAGAAGAGGAAATTTCTTGAATTCTGCAAGTCTTCAAAACCACCCAGTTTGACTTACTAATGCTTCCATATGAGGATGAAGAGACATATTTGGTTGTCATCAACAAGTAGCCTACACTTCAGAGATTCTTTTGCGCCTAAAGAGAATTCGAGTTATCTTTGCTGCATAGAAAGTTTTGCGAGGTAATAAAAAAACCAATATTTGAGCCCTCCTTTGCATGCGAAAATATGCCGACTTTTCAATATTTGATTTTTTTTGCTGTCGCACAGAATTTTTGAAACAGCCTAGTATTACGACATAACCATATTGGAGTGAATGTGAGAGGCAAGTACAGTGAGTGATATTTGGAAAAAGCTCACAAAATGAAAGGATTGCGTTTTGTAGCTTTTTATCCTAGAACGAAGGTTTTTACTCGAAAATCCTCATAATTTTTAGGGCGATAATTCTCAGTTAACCTCTTTATAGACTACAATTGAGTGTTAGAAGTTCACGAAAGCTGTTGGAGCTCAATACCAGAAACTTCGCATAAATCTTGCGCAGACAGTCGCCACTTGAATGCTGGTTTATCTCGTTATGGGGTAATTTTCAACATTCGCGACGTGTCAGTGCTCCTGGTCGTGTCATGAGGAACACAACGATACATAATTTTGCAAGGTTTCGTTGAGCCCCACCAGATCTACGATCAGAGCGAAATGCCCGTCGGCTCTGGTCCGTCTCCGCTGCTCGTATGCGTCTCCGCGCTTTGCACACTACCTCGCTAATCCAAACGCGGGGCGAGGGTATTTGGTTCTGATACCCTTTTCCTCGTTGTTTTCAATTTAATCCTAGCAAAGTGCATGTCGTATTAAAGCTCTTGATCTCTACATGCACGTCGACAACGTTGCAGAACTCCATTTTTTGATTTGAACGAGAAATCTGGCAAAAGCCGCGTTTTCGAAAATCCTGTTTTTCTTCAAAATAGCGCTTTTCAAGCCGGTTTTTGTGCATCCCATAGATCTTGCTTCCTTCCATAACGTAGACAACGTCGCGGGCCAGTTCCTTGTGTGGTGAAATATCTAGCACAAAGCTGCAAAAAGCTGCGTTTTTGTTCGTAGACCTTTACTGGAGTTAGAAAGCAACCATTTCTTACATGGTTGGGGGCATTTTGCTAAGAATTACGAGCACAACAAAGCAAACACCGTCGCCAGAAAGAGAAGCTACGAGAAAAGGCTAAAAATTCGAAGGACGCATCAAAAGCTAGGTTGTATTTGAC